TATGCAAGTTGCTCAACTATATATCTCTCTCTCCACAATTCTCTTACGTTGATAAACTCGTAAGTAAACTTCAGAGCAAGGAGAAGATGAAGATCCTGGTCATATTTTTCCACAGCTTTCTTGAACTTTCGTTTTCATTTCCATTTGTTTTTATTAAAACAAAATAACAAAAGATCTGTGGAAAACAAAAAATAGAAAGCTCAAGAAAGCTGTGGGAAAACATGACAATTCAGGGTTTTCTCCGTTGATTAAAGTGTCAGATTCTTTTTTAGGTATGAATTTTGTCATAATTTGAAGGGTTTTTTTTTTCGTTCTTTTTGATAAAATTGTCCATCTCTTCTTCTCCAAAGCTATCACAATTTGAAGGTTTGTTTATACTTAGTTACTTACCCTTTCTTCCAAAATTTTAGACATTCTTATTATGAACATGAGTGCTATTTATATGGATGGTAATAAGGTTTTTCGTTTTCTTGATACATTTGATTAAATCTGATATTTTCGTGAAAGTAGATAAAAGATTATAAGTTTGTCACAAATCAAGGCTACATATTACGATGGGGTATGGCAATTTCCTTCTAAAAATTATCGATTTCGTGAAAACTCCTCATTCACCGTATTTTCTTGATGAAAATATCCTAGGTCTTCTTCTAAATTGATATACTATTTATTGATAATTAAGTCTGTACTCTTTCCAAGGTCTGTAAGTGAATTGGAGGAACGAAGCTTCTCTGAGTTACCAATTCTGTATAGATAATCTTTTTACATTTCTGTTTGTTGAAAAAGTTTTAGCTGACGTCACTCTAACCACTCCACCTCAGGCGCGATTTACTCGTACGTTTTTTATGATGGACACTATTTTGGGGGTTAAAGTTATATGTATGTACACATGTCTCCCATGTGAGTGTGTTTATATATATACATCTCTTTTATTTTTTCTTAATATCATCTTTATATTTCGTATAACACACATACAAAACACTACATATGCATTTTTTTGAAAATCTGAATTTGAACATACTTTCATCAACCATTTACAGTGACAGGTTGATTTGATTGTATCATTGTCGCTTCTGAATTATTTTTGTTCCTCATTTGTTTGTTTTTGATGCAGCAGAAAAAAGGAAATTTAGATTATGCATTTTCATTTTTTTAATTCCTTTTTTTGTGTTATCTAAAGAACATTGCATATGCATGAAGCATGCATTACATACATACATACATACATGCATACATATTGTGTGCATGCACATGTCTCGCTTGTAACTGCTTTGTTTTTCTAATCAGTTTCATAAATTTCTCCAAGAACCGAAATAAAGTGAAGTTATGGTTAAGATTTACATCGATGGAAATTCTTTTTGATTAATTTCATGTTGGATAAAAGATAATACGTACAGACTTAAAAGACTATAGATATTTGATATGTAAAACCTATCTGAAATTTTCTAAACCATACAGAACATAAAAATGAAAAACAACTTACCTAAATTTGCCAATACCATTTGTCATAAGAGAATTATTCCTTGCATTAAGAAAAGGAAAAACAGCTGAATCAGTTGTGTCTATGTTCAAAATTTCGCTAATTGTTGGTTGGGCAGCGCTAATAATTCGGGGATTAACCGAAGTTGAATTTTATTTTAATATATTATTAGATATTTTATGTGTAAGATGACAAATTATAGTATGAAAATCATATATTTCTAACTTAGATTAAATATTCTTCCAAGTTCACATTTACTACAATAGATAAAAATAGTTAGAATTTATGTTTAGATGATACATTCCCAAATAGATCTGTCCAAAAATATTAGTCACATGTTTTTTTGTTAAGGTAACTCTAAACATAATGCACTTATATTTTTAGGCCAAATTTTACAAACAATTATTAGCTAGGTCAAACAGATTTCAGAAAAATATAAATTTGGTTTACCGGCTTTCAAACTAATCGATAATTTTTGTAAATCGGATAAAATCGATCAAACAACGTTTGACCAAATAGTATCACCGATTGAAAATTGTCACGGTCACTTCTTGGAGAGATTCATCGAGCGATTAATCGAAAAAATCAGTGATTTTTAGAACGTAGGTCTGTACTACCGAATTCACATGAAATGAATATGGTGAACATTTAATTAACCTTTCAGAACTAAAAACAACAAAAATATGAGAAAAATAAATAAACATGAGGCATGAATCTTATATATATATATATATATATATTTTTTTTTTTTAACTGCTACGTCGTACTTGATTCCGAGATTGTTTCTTACACATGTGTAAAAAGGAATACTGATTAATAACTGATGAGACATGATGAAACAAAAAAAAATTGACGAGACATGAAATTTGTATAGTGGTAAACAATTATTCAGAATAGTAAAGGCATTTGTCCTTTTATTTATTTATGATAAATACAGATCTGAGGATGATTGCGTTGTTGTGGCCTTGTGGGTCTTGTTTGTTTTCCACTGATTCCAAAACCTTTTGACGTGGAAATGATTTGATTGGCTGGCTAACACGATGTATGTAAGAGAGAGAAGATGGCCAACGCTTTGAAAGTGAAACTTTTGTCAATTTATGATCAGAAAGTGGATTCCGATTTTCTTCTTGGATCGATGTAATATACACTTTGTTCGGAAGTAAATTTGGTTTTTAACAGTTCTTCATAAACGCGTTGATCTTTCTTCTCTCGAATGCTCCTCATAGGAAACCTTTTTGCAGGGAGATAGTCGAACAAATTTAAGACTCTTTGTTAATAAACGAAAATGGACCTTTAATATAGTACCATTTTGGTGGTGTTTCATATATAACATCTATATATATATATATATATATATATATATATATTTGAAGACAAATTGTTATATACATATATTCGAAAACAAATAAGTTATATGATGAATAGAAAAGTAAGTGTAAGTGGCGATCGGTGTACTATGTGTTCGGTTTGAAAATATGAGACTGGAGTCGGAACTTTCGTATTAAAGATAAAATCAAGCTCGGAAATTACATGAAATAAGATGAGTTCGGGAAGGCGGACAATGCCAATTACCGAATGATATTCTTCTTATAAAAGTACAAATCGAGACACAAATCTAGACCTAGAACATTTGAGTGTTAACTGAATCCCCTAAAACTTTATGATTACTCTTCATTTATAGTACAAGGACATTATGGCATTTCCCAAAAATCAACATGTGTTGAGCTAAGTTTGGTTTTGTTGATGGACTTAACATAGATTTGGGCCGACCGAATGAAAATGTGCAAACCAAACACTAACAACAAGTATGATTTAAGTATTAGAAAATATAAACTCTTGAAAACATAATGACTTTATTACAGAAACACCAATAACTAAAAAACAGGTCTTGCATTAGCTAAAAAAAAAATACGAACAAGCAAATTAGAGAAGAAAAGCTATAATTTAAAAAAAAAATATAACTGTAAAATTATATAAAATCAAAAGATGAAATTCGTGCATAGCGCGGATATCTCCCTAATTTATTTAAAATTGTTTCTCTACAGCTACAAATGGTGTTTAATGGGTGGAATTAAGAAAATTATAAAGACGGTCATAGGAAATAGTGGTTTTGTAGTAGTTTGAATAAAAAATTTGTTCAAATAGTTTCTCAGTTCTTATGAACATGAATAAATTTCAGCGCAAAAGAGTTGTTTTCTATAAATAACGTTTACGTGGCATTACTTATTTTTTTTAAAAATAGAAAGTTAAATGGAATATTTTCTTAGGATGTTACGTCAGCTCAAAGAAGTTGACACATTAGAGCATGTACATCGCACATACATTCAAGAGTTTATTTATTTATTTATTTATTTTTAAATAATGTTTTTTTTTAAATATACCAAATCGGGTTGTGACATGTGGTGAAACCGTGTCAGAGAAACGGTTTTCATATCTCTTTTGGAAGAGACTTCTCTCTCGGTCTCTCCACCTAGATAAATATATATATATATATTTTTTTGTTAAAGAAACTGTCATATATGATACACATGCTCTTAGCATCTATCTAATAACTACACTCGCAAATATTTTTTAAGAAAGCAATAAAGCATGTACATTTTAGGATTCCAAACAAAAAGTTATGGGTATGAAACATTAATGAGATAAGGAAAAGATGAGAAATCTAATCTTTCTTTCCGTATAATTAATTACCTAAGAGAATCCGACCGAAAGTTTGGGTCACGGGACGGATTTGGAAAATTCTCTTAAGTACAATATATTTTCTCCGTTTCAGAAAATTTGATGTTTTAAAAAAAAATTGTTTTATAAAACTTGATGTTTTAGTCTTATTTAATACAAAATAGTCTTAACTTTTAGATGAGAGAAATCGGAGAAAGTAATTAATTGTTTCTTTTAAAACATAAAGTGTTTCTTAACAGACGAAAGGAAAATAATAAATGTATACAAAAATGTTTCTTAATATCTGTATTTTTTCTAAAACATTAAGTTTTCTGAGTATTTTCAATCTAAAATAATTTGAGTAAGGGTTTAACTGTGGAATTTATATTTTTCGGTAGTTCGGGAAAATGGGGGAAGTTCTGAGATATCGAAAAGAACAAGTAAATTAGGAGGATATCATATCTCATACTCGTTATTTTTTTTGAACGAGTTTAAGAAAAGACGTGAAATTCAGAACGAGAAAGAGAGGCAACAACAAACCCCAAGAGTGTGAGTCTAAGCTCAATCACTGAAAATTGATCCTCGGAAGCACAGAAAAAATATCGAGTCGGATAGTTTTTTCTGACGGCCCAACTGGGCTTAACTCGGCCCATTCATTCCTTTTTTGTCTCTCCCGTCTCTCTCTCTCTCTCTCTCTCTCCTCTCGTTACTTGACTGCGCGTGGATTCTCTCTCTGCAAACAAAAAAAAGCGTCCCCTCTCTTCGCTCTACAATTTACTTTTCTAGGGTTTTCGATTTCTTTTTTCCAATACTTGAAAATTCGTGGACTTCATAATCTAGCCAACACAAGTTGGTTAAATCCTCCATGGATTCTCGAGATTCGTCGTCATCAGCTGCATCGTCCGACGCCGCTAGAGATGTGTCAAACTGCGATGACGCCATCGCTCTCTCTGTCACTTCTGCACTCGCTAAAGACGCTCTCTCTCACTTCCAATCTGGAAAATTCCATGAGGCTATGGACATTTTGAATCAGCTCAGGCAGAAGAAACTTAACGATCCTAAGGTCAGTGTTTTATTTTTCCGGATTTAATTGTATTGGATTTGCCTGTGATCTGGTTTGATTGTTTAATATGAATCCTTGCTAGTGTTTAGATGCACAATTTACTAGTTTAGATCTGGCTTTGTTATCATTTCCTCTGTATCAGTGTTGATTTGCTTTGAATTCTGTGATGATAGTCTCTGCTCAAGTAGTTTACTCATTTGTGAAGTAGAGATGAGCTTTTTAGCTTTGTTTCAATCAGATATACTGAGCAAAGCCCTTCATTTCTCAACATTTGGTTACTTAGCGCAGAATCATATTGTGAACGAACACTCTCAGTAGATTAATGAGATGGTTTTACTTCTCTAAGGTTGAATGTTTATATAATCACAATCATGCAGCAAATATCATTTGTCTTCTTGTTTTTTTACTTCTCAAATCATGTTTTTTGAAATGTTTTTACTTGATGAGGCAGGTTCCTCACAATATGGCAATTGCAGAGTACTTTAGAGATGGTTGTTCGAATTCCAAGAAACTGATCGAAGAGCTTAACTCTGTCAAGGTATTGTGTTAAAATTTGTATTTGGTTTCTATCTATCAATTTACATCGCAAATCGTCTTCTTTGTCAAATCAAGCAAAGCAATTTGATTAATAGGCTTTGTATGTGAATTTCTTATGAGCTGTTTCTTGTTCTATTCTTTTTACTTTGTATTTCAGAGACAGAGTGAAGAACTTGCTTCGGCAGCAAAAGAACAAGTGGAAACTGTAAACCCTGGAACTAATGTCTCTGTGTCAAAGGATCAGTTTGATAGCACAGTAACAAGTCTCAACATTGTATGTTCTGATGTATTCCCATGATTTGGTTTGAGTTGAGTCTCAGACTCTCAGATATGCCATTCTTATTTATGGTTAAATATTGATGATTCATTGGTCTCTTGCAGGCGGTTACCTGGTTTCATCTGCATCAGTATACGAAATCTTTATCCATTCTTGTACCTTTGTTTCAAAAAATTGAGCCGCTAGACGAGGTATGTTTCCTTTTTTCTCGGTTGAGTATTGGTAAATCCGTCCTACTGGCTCTAAGTAGCCAGCTTGCTTGTTACTTGTATGCAGACAATTGCGCTTCAAATCTGCTTCTTGTTGCTGGATGTTACGCTGGCTTGTCGTGATGCTGTCAAATTTTCGGTAAGTATTGTTTGTTTTAATCTCAAAGGCTTAAAATATAGTCCAGCTGTTCTATTTTTCCCATGGAAAAGTTCAACCAGTATCAACATGTTGTTTTCTAAATTTTCTACAAATGCAATATAATTTTTTTTTACTCCGTATCGTTCTTTATTCCGTGTGGCATTTCCTGCAAGATTCTCTCCCATTGTCTTTGTTTATACATAATTCCAAAACAGAAATCGCTGTTTTCCTTTCTTGTTTTTTTTAAGCTAAAGTTTTTACCTTTTATTGAGAACAATTTCTCTAGTGGCGTCCTTGCTTTTCAATGCAAGGTCGATACTTTTCTCTCTGTAAGAATGCAGAATGCAGAATGCACAAAATTAAATCTAACAAATATGCAATATCTATAACCTGTCTATGCCATGAGAAATGGGTAATCAATTGGTGACCGAACTTGAATACTATAATACAAGTTAATTGATGATCGCAAATTCTACATAACTATAACTTGATGGGGAAGGCTTGACTTTTAGTTTGATGCGGGGAATTGAATTTTTATTTGGAAATGATATACTGTGGCATCCTTGAATTTATTTTCTTTTTAATCAGTTAATATTCTCATCGTTTGGAGTCTCTCTGTAGATGTTTACTTCTTTCTGTATCTCACAAGTATTTTTTTTTTTTTCAGGTTGTGTTTGAGCATATGGGAAAAGCTTTTGATGTTAGTTGTGGAAGTCATGACGAAATTGGAAGCACGATGCAACTTTCTTCAAGTCAGGTGTCCAAAACATCTTCTCTGCTGAGCAGCTCGGTGGCCTCAGATACTTTGAAGTCTGATTTAACCGCCGCTGAAAATAGTCTGTGTGAGGAAACTGACTATGCCAATGTTCTAGCGGAATTTGAGGCCGAGAAACGGATGAGACCAGTTGGCCATATTCCAGCAAACAATCTTCTCAAAACATTAGGAGAAAGGTCGGTTTTGACTGATGATCTGAAGCTTGAGTTGCAGCTTTACAAGGTCCGCTTCTTGCTTCTTACCAGAAACTTGAAACTGGCGAAGCGTGAAGTCAAGCATGCGATGAACATTGCTCAAAAAAGAGACTCCTCCATGGCCCTCCTCTTGAAATCTCAGCTTGAGTATGCTCATGGGAATCCTCGAAAGGCTATCAAGCTTTTGTTGGTCTCAGGTATTCAAAAAGAAGCAAGAACTTCAGGAATCTTCAACAACAACCTTGCTTGCATATACTACCAGCTTGGAAAATATCAAGCTTCCTCCGTGTTATTTTCAAAAGCTCTGAGAAGTTGTTCATCACTTAGAAAAGAGAGTCCGGTGAAGCTGTTTTCTCTGTCACAGGATAAGTCTCTGTTGATCGCATACAACTGCGGTTTGCTGTATTTGGCTTCTGGGAAGCCTCTACTTGCTGCTCAATGCTTCCAGAAGGCAAGCCTGGTTTTCTCCAGACAACCCCTCTTCTGGCTCCGTATCGCCGAGTGCTGTATCATGGCTTTACAAAAGGGTCTTTTGGAAGAGGGAAACACTACTTCAGAGAAATCAGAAATCAAACTTCATGTAATTGGGAAAGGGAAGTGGAGACAGCTAATGATGGAAGAGAGTGGATTTGTGGATCTTGCTGGCAGTACCAAATGGCCAAAGCTTTCATTACCATTGGCACGGGTCTGTCTCTCGAATGGTATCTTTCTGCTCAACGAGTCTCTCATGAATGACTCTAAATCAGATCTTGATCCGGCATCATCCTTGAAGATACATGAGACCAAAGAAGCAGCATCGTCTGATAATGGGGAAGCTAATACAAACTCAGACATGAAAGAGGCAAAAGGAGGAATCAACCAGGACATCATTCAAAACTCCCTCTCCGCTTTCAAGGAGATCCGAAGCAGAGAGATTCAGCTTGTCAAGCAGGCTCTTCTTGCCAATATGGCATACGTGGAACTGGAACTGGAGAATCCTATCAAAGCCTTGTCAGCGGCTAATTCACTCTTGCAAGTTCCTGATTGTTCGAAGATTTACGTCTTCTTAGGCCATATCTATGCAGCGGAGGCTCTCTGCTTGCTCAACCGACCCGTTGAAGCTGTTACCCATTTATCTGGCTATCTACTTGGACAAGATGATTTCAAACTGCCGTATGGGCAAGAAGACTTTGACCAGTGGCGGATGCACGCAAGCTATGACTGTGAAGAGACATCGGATTCTTCCGCAGGAAGTGCCCGGGATTCGGTTTTCGTTAAGCCAGAGGAAGCTCGTGGAGCGCTTTTTGCAAACCTTGCGGCGCTGCTTGCTACGCAAGGACATCTTGAACAGGCCAAACATATGATAACGAACGCGTTAACTGTCTTACCGAACAATGTGCTAGGTACGGTTACAGCGGTCTACATCGATCTCATGTTGGGTAGGTCACAAGACGCCATTGCTCGGTTAAGGCAGTGTACCCGTGTCAGCTTTGTCCCTGGGAGGTTGGAAGTGAGAGCATCGTAGATGTGGTTTGTACTCTGTTTTTGGTAATCAAGGTTTAGGTCTGTAGTTCCTTTGATAAATATCAGAAATAAGTTTTTCTTTTTATCTTGGTACTTTTCTTGTATTGGTGATGTGAGATGATGTTTGCATTCTTGACTTAGATTTGGGTCGTCGAGGGTTGTTGATTTATTTCTTGTTCAAATGAACAACATAGACTTTGAGAACTACACACAGGCTTTTGTAATCTGTTTCAGAGAAGACCCTCTAAAATTCATTTCTTTTTGGAATCCCTTCGATATGTAAACATTTGCATGGTTGTAGTTGATGACAATGCATGCTTGTATTTGATGTTGATTAGTTTTTTTCATTGTTCTTACCGACATTAGTTGATAAGCAAAATATATTTTCAGTGGGAACAAAAGGTAGTGAAAGCAATTAATTGATCGTAACTGTTGAATCTTTGAAACTTCGTCTGAAAGCAATAATTTTGAATCAATTTTGAACGCTAGCTTTCTTTGAACTCGTAAACATCGACTGTACGTGATGTCGCATCATACAAAAAGTTTTATAATTTCTTCAATTCTTTATACAAAAACTACTCTAACAAAATGTCTTTCTTCTTTAGAAATGACGAAAAAAATTAGAAGCTTGGAGATATAGCAAAATACGTGTACGCTAGGGGATTCTTGAACACTTCCTAGAAGTTCCAACCTCGACACGTGGCTCATTATCCTTCCACTGTTTGTGGTCTTCTTTGTCCTCGGAGTTCTGAAAAAGCTGTAAATCTGTTTTTTAATCTCTAAAGCCAATTATTAAATTCTTGCTTTAAATGCTTAAAGAATGTTCCTCCAATTACCAAGAAAAAGAATTGGTCCACATCTTGGACTATAAAAAAGTTATACTACTACAATGGATTATGAAAATAATACTACTATCATTAATTTGGAAATCAAAGAAATCTGAGCTGAAAACAAAACTAATTAATACATTAATGATTAAACAATTTAAGTTAATAATGGGAGATTTTTATGGTCATTTTGGGCTTTTACCTTTTTTTATTTCCGGTTAAAGTAATTTATTTATCCTCTAAACAGAAGAAAAAAATCAGTGTTTTCGGTTCCTCTCTCTCTCGACAAGCTTCTTCTTCTGCAATCTGACCACAATAATGGCGAACGACGAAGAACTCTCTGAAGATTCAATCTCCAATGGATTAGAATCGTTTGATGCGGTTAAAAAACGTTTCAAGGATCGATCAAAGGTGAACCGCCTATTCGCGTTTAGAGATTCGATTTCAGCATTTTGATTTGGTCAAAAAATTTGATTAGAAATTTTTCATCTCTTATAATCATCACAGAAAGTTGGCCAGACGAGAGATTTGTTGTCTAAACAAGCGGTGCAGACGCGCGAGATCTTATCGAAACAAGCCGTTAAGATCGCTAAACAAGCCGAAGAACACGAGAGATTCATCAATAAGGCATCTTCCTTCTCCTTTCTCTATCTCATATCAATGAATAGTAACGGAGAAAGACTTTTGAAACGTAATATTTAGACGGAGCTTGAATGGTATATTGTTGATAGTGCGAATAAGGGAATAATCTAATGATCTAGTAAACACTAAAAAAATGGAATTAGTAGATTATTGATGTTGTGGGAACATTTTTAAGAAACTTAAAAACTTGATGAATGTTCTTGAATGGTTAAAGATTGCGGAAAGTAGTTTGGATTTTTGGCCACCTTGCTTCAGATGAAAGCTAGTGGAGATTGTTTATATGACTCTTGATTCATTATTTAAGCAAAACACTTGTTTCTGCAATGTTAAAAGTTTCATGTGTTTTTTTTTTTTGGTGAAAAGGTGACACATCTTGTTGGGGTGCTTGGATTTGGAGGCTTTTGTTTCCTACTTGGAGCAAGTGAGTTTGAGAGAATTTGATATAAGTGGGATACAAGAGATATCTGATCAAAATGAAATGTTGTTGATTTTTGTGTGTTTTGTTCTCAGGGCCTCAGGACATTCCTCTCGTCTACTGTCTCTTCTATGTGATCTTTGTTCCACTCCGTTGGATATATTACCGGTTTAAGAAATGGCATTATTATCTTCTGGTAACGTTCAATACAATCTTAAATTTTGAGGTTTTGGAATCAACATACAGCATTTGAGATTATATTTAACAAAACTTTGTGTATGTGATAGGACTTTTGCTACTATGCCAACACAATCTTCTTGGTTGATCTTCTTCTGTATCCTAGAAACGAAAAGCTTTTCATGGTTTGCTTCTCCTTTGCAGAGGTAAGCTTTTGTAGACACATGTATATGAGTCTTTGTGTGTGCCTGTGACTCTGTGTAAGCTAATTTATCGAATTGGTTATGTCTTCCGCTGTTGTTTATCTGCAGGGACCATTAGCATGGGCACTTATTGTCTGGCGTTGCAGCTTGGTTTTTAGCTCTCCTGATAAGATTGTTAGTGTTCTTATACATCTCTTTCCTGGTGAGTTTATATAATATTTTTCTTTCTTTCTCTCTCTGTTGTCAAAGAATGTTGACAGTTTTGATTCAAACTATTGGATGTTATTGTACATTTTGGATATCGGATCTTTGGTTTTGTATGCCCTGGATTAAAATTTGATTGTGCGTTGAAAAACATATGAACAATGCAGATAGTATTTAAGCTTATGTTCACTCTCCTGGATCTTTGAGTCGTGACATGAATTTGGTTTTTCAGGGCTCGTGTTCTTCACGATAAGGTGGTGGAATCCAGCGACCTTTGCAGCTATGCACCCTGAAGGCGCTGACCGTAGGGCTTCATGGCCTTACGTGGAAGACAAATCTTACCTTTTCACATGGCTGTTTCTCGTCCCCTTGGTGGTTTACACTCTTTGGCAAGTTCTCTATTTCCTAATCGTCAATGTCCTTCGTAGGCAGAGACTCCTAAGAGATCCTGAAGTCATGACTTCCTACAGGTATCATCCTCTTTCCCATCTCTCTCTCTCTCTTGTATTACAAATGACAAACAATATCAATGTAATCTTTGTGGTCTGTGCAGAGAGCTGTCAAAGAAAGCTCAAAAGGCAAACAACAAGCTGTGGCAGCTAAGCGGTCTACTAGGAGATCAGAACCGTATGTGGATGTACATCCTCTTCCAGGCCGTTTTCACGGTGGCGACCATGGCATTGACCGTTCCGATCTTCCTATCGTATAGACTTCACGTGATCTTTCAGATCCTGAAGATATCAGCGGCAGTGTGGAACGGAGGAAGCTTTTTACTAGAGGTAATGCCGCGGCAAGTGATCCAGAAAGAGAAGAAGAAGGAAACAGAGATGCAGCCATTAGAGGAGGAGCATCGTGAAGAACCAGTGTCAGAATCTACTGAGACAACTGAGACATGATGGTTTATAACAAAAAGGTACATATCATAATAAAGCATTGTCAGGATCATGATTTTGTTTCGTTCCCTTTTGTTTTGTTTATTATAACGTTTTCTTCATCTTTGTTTGGTGTATACATCAAAACTCTGAAAGATTAAAAAACTGAATGAACTTTTGTAAGTTTTGCTTTCTCTTATATAGAAGCTGGTTCTGCTTTTAGACTTTAATGGTCTTAACAAACTACAATTTGACACGTGCTAGATCGCCTCGGCGATGCCATGAGATTGTTTAAGCTCTTGGAATGTTTTTCATTCGTAGAACCTCCTCCTAGATGTAGAACAAGTTTCTTGAGGATTGCTGCGTTCTCTGCAAAGTAGCTTGCTAATTCGATAACGGTGTCTATCACAAATTTGGTCTCGTCTTTTATGGCTACGAACTCGAGCGATGACATCAAACAGCGAGGCACGGTCGTGAGTTTTGTATATTCCATCACCCAAGAATCATTAAAATCCTGCAAAACACAACATGGAGAACACAAAATGAGAGTGAATTTTAGAAAGCGAGAAACATAGTTCTTAGATAATAAATATAAGGTTTGTGCATTACCAAGATTAAGGATCTTAGATTGGGACAACTTTCAAGAAACCTTGGCAGCTCTTTCGGGAAGAGCCAAAAAATCTCTATCTCCAAACTGGACAGGTTGCAAAATTGTGGCAATGGTGTGAATTTGTCGATGAACTACTCACACGGAAAAAAAAATCAAAAAAATCCGAAAAATTGCTGAGCAAAACTTTGATGACAATTACATAAAACTGCGTAAACATACCTCCAAAGCGTCCCAAGAGATCTTCATATCCCTAAGTCCTGAGATGCTTGTAAAAAAGTTACGGAACATTAGGAAGTCGACTTCATCATAATCAGCAATATTATACCTCGGAAACATTTTGACAAGAAAGCTGACATTGGTTAAGGAACCCAAATTGATTATGGTTTTGTTCTTAGATGTAGCATCTTTGATATTCAAATGCTTGAGTCTAGGGGCATCAATAATAAAACCTGCGTTTTCATAATCTAATCTGTGATTGGCCTTTATACTGAGACTAGTTAACGTCAGAGAGTGCACTCGTATAACCTTTACATTGTCATCTTCATATCTTTTAACAAAGCTCAAATCTTCAAGAACGGGGCAAGACGAGATAAGCTTCTCCAGGCACGCGTCATTGACATATAAATTGTTTTCCAAACGCATAGTCTTGACACAAGGTAATGAAACAGACTTAAAACTACCTATTGAAACCCGATGGAGTCTCAAGTAAAGTAAAGTCTGACATATAGAGAGGCTTAATGGCATCACTTCCAAACGCTCACGCTTCACACGTGAACACTCAACATCAAGATGCTTAAGCTTCGATGTAGCCACCAAGTCTATACAACGCCTGACCCAAGACTGATCATCCAGCTCATTAAACCTAATTATGTGCTAAGTAGAAGACCAAACTACCCTTCATTACAAAACATGTCAAACATATCGTTAACAAAACCGAAAGATTCCGCAGTGACAATCTCGAAATTAAGTTAAAGGACGAACTTCAGAAACAGATCATTAGACAGCTGAGCTGAGCAGTCCATTAATCCAAGACCGAGAATCAGCTACAGCATTCACCTGATGGATTTTAGGTTTTTAGAAGTTTTAGGGCTTGTCCCTTGTTGAACACTCAACACTAGACACTCATTTGTTATAGTATTTTAAGAAAAGCTTTTGGAGGAAAGAGATTTTAGTTGCCCTACTTTTGAATTGAGCCCGCTTGTGCAATGGTGGAAAGAGATAGATGATGACAAACAATACTCTTCTAGACCTGGAGGAGTCTTTACTTCTTCGTCACGACAACAACTTAACACTCTGTCTGGTTTACTTAACGAAGACGCTTTAATTTGTATTGTTTTTAATGGCAAACGCCCTTGTTGTTGTTTTTATTAAAAGTTTCAGTGCTAAAAAGCGAAGAAGAAGAAGAATAAAATAGAGATGCAGCCATTAAAGGAGCATCATGAACCAGTGTCAAAACCTACTAAGACGTGATAGTTATAACAGAAAGGTACATATCAAATAAAGCTTTGCCAGAATCATGATTGTCTTTTTTCCTTCCTGTAAGGGTTTGTGGTCAACAAACTACGAGTTGACACGTGCTAGATCGGGTCATCGATGCCATGAGATCCCTTAGGACCTCAGAACCTTCTGCAGGTATAAAACCTCCCAAACGCAGCACAAGTTTTTTGAGGATTACTGAGTTCTCTGCAAAGTACATTGCTAATTTGATAGCGGGGTCTATCGTATATTTGTTCTTGTGTTTTATCTCTACAAACTCTACAAACTCGAGCGATGACATCAAACAGCGAGGCGCGGTCGTCAATTTTATTTGTTCTGGCAGCCAGGAACCAATTAAATCCTGCAAAATACAACATGGAGAACACAAAATGAGAGTGAATTTTAGAAAACGAAAAAAAACATTCTTAAGTGTATGAGATATAAATATAAGGTTTGTGCATTACCAAGACTAGGGATCTTAGATTGGGACAACTTTCAAGAAACCTTGGCAGCTCTTCCAGGAGGTGATGATAAATCTCTACTTCCAAACTGGACAGGTTGCAAAATTGTGGCAATGGAGTGAAATTCCTGATGTACTACTCAGACAAAAATTAATAAAACCAAAATCAGAAAATTGCTAAGCAAAACTTCGATGACATGTAACATAAAAATGCATAAACATACATGGGAAGCTTCCCAAGAGATCTTCATATCCCTAACTCCTGAGATGCTTGTAAAAAAGTTACGTAACTCGACTTCATCATAATCAGCAATATACCTCGGACACCTATTGCAAAGAATGTTGACATTGGTTAAGGAACCCAAATTGCTTATGGTTTTGTTCTTAGATGTAGCATCTTTAATATTCAAGTGCTTGAGTCTAGGGGCGTCAATAATAAACCCTGCGTTTTCATAATCTATTCCGGTATACTCACACCTTCCTGCTTCTATACTGAGACTAGTTAACGTCAGAGAGTGCACTCGTAAAACCTTTACATTGTCATCTTCATGTCTTTTTACAATACTCAAATCTTCAAGAACAGGGCAAGACGAGATAAGCGATTCCAGGCACGCATCATTGACATATACATTTTTTTCCAAACGCATAGTCTTGACACACGGTAAAGAAACACACTCAAAACTACCTATTGAAACCCGATGGAGTCTCAAGTAAAGTAAAGTCTCACATATGTAGAGGCGTAAGGGCATCACTTTCAGACACTCACACTGAACATCAAGATGCTTAAGTTTACGCGTAGCCACAAAGTCTATACAACGTGTGGCACAAGATTGGTCATCCATAATGCTTATTATTAGCTTGAGCTTGTGCAAGCATGAATTCTCTTTCCTTTTGAAATCTAGGAACCTGTCTATAAATCTCTCAAAAGATTTGTAACATGGGAAATCGGAAGAGCCGAAATCCAACCCGGGGATTAAAAGCCAGAGACTTTTCCACCTATTGGACAAAACACAAGTCCTAACAGCTTCCTTTGTCGGAAGATACGAGAGAATCTCAGATATCAAAGAGTCGGGTAGTTCGCTTATCATATCTTCTCTTGCACTTGAGATACCTGCCGGCTCTTTGAAACAATTTCCTTTAGCTTTCGTTTCCTCCATTACAATCCACTAGCAGAATCCAAGAAACCTAAACGTTTTGTTACTGATCAATATGAGCGAGGCTGCACACTTATATAAGGACTAATTAAACCTAATTTTATGTGCTAAGTAGAAGACCAAACTACCCTTTAACACAAATATGTCAAACATATGTAACAAAACCGAAGGGGCAATCTCGAAATTAAGTAAAAGACTAAAAGGACGAACTTCAGAAACAGATTATTAGACAGCTGAGCTAAGCAATCCAAGACCGAGAAAAATCAACAATAAAATTGACCTGATGGAGTTTAGGAGTTCCGACGAGTACTGTAGAGAAATTGTAGCAGCGAAGTTTTCAATAGGCAATGAGAGAGTCTTTTAGGGCTTGTCCCTTTTGGAACACTGGCACGCGTTTGTTAGTTTCAAGGAATATCGAATGATCCAAATAACACTAGTTAGTGTTTTTTTTTTTGCCAAAAATGGGTTAAAATTGAATATAGTTGATTAATAACGTTTCGTTTTTAGCTATATTTTTTAACACGTCCAAACTCCAAAGTATATAGTAGAAATATTTTTCAGAAATGTGAAAGCTTGAGGAATGTTCTTGAATGGTAAAAAATAGCGAAACTAGTGTGAATTTTGGACACCTTGCTACAGATGAAAGCTAGTGGAGAATGTTTATATGAATCTCGATTCATTATTTGAGCATTAAAGTTGAATCTTAATTCCATGCAAGTGTATTCATGAACTTTAATCTTGTGGTTTTGGAATCAACAAACAGCATTTGATTATTCTTAACAAAAAACTGTGTATGTGATTGGAGTTTTGATCCAGAAAGAGAAGAAGAAGAAAAAAGAGACGCAGCCATTAGAGGAGGAGCATCATGAAGAACCAGTGTCACCACCTCCTACTCAGAATGAGGGGCCAGAATCTACTGAGACATGATGGTTTATAACAAAAAGGTATATATCAAATAAAGCATTTTACAGAATCATGATTTTGTTTCGTTTTTATAACGTTTTGTTCATCTTGTGTGGTGTATACATCAATTATGAAAGATTAAAAAGTGAAAGAACTTGTAAGTTTTGCTTTCTCTATAGAAGCTGGTTCTGTTTTTAGACTTTAATGGTCAACCAACTACGATTTGACACGTGCTAGATCGCCTCGGCGATGCCATGAGGTTCCTTAAACTCTTGGAATGTTTTTCACTCGTAGAAGCTCCATCTATAGGACCTAAACGTAGAAAAAGTTTCTTCAGGATAACTGAGTTCTCTGCAAAGTTCTCTCACGTAGGGACTATGCAAAACCTGCAAAACACAAGATGAGTGAAGTTTAGATAACACTAAACACATCTCTTACGTGTATCGGTGTATGTGATAAATCTAGGGTTTGTGCAAGCCATTACCAAGATTAGGGATCTTAGGTTTGGAAAACATTCAAGAAAATTTGACAGGTATTTTAGGAAGAAACAAGGAAGCTGTGCTTTCAAACAGATCATTAGACAACTGAGCTGAGCAATCCATTTAACCAAGACCGAGAAAAATCAACAAAAGCATTCACCTGATGGATTTTAGGCTTTTAGACGTTTTAGGGCTTGTCCCTTTTTGAACACTCAACACTGGACACTCGTTTGTTATAGCGTTTTAAGAAAAGCTTTTGAAGGAAAGAGAAAAGCTTTAGTTGCCCTACATTTGAATTCAGCCCGCTTGTACAATGGTGGAAAGAGATAGACGATGACAATTGACAAACCGTATTCTTGACCCTAGAGGAGTCTTTACTTCTTAGTCACGTCAACAACTCAACACTGTGTCTGGTTTACTTAACGAAGACGTACGCTTTGTATTGTTTTTAATGGCAAATGCCCTTCTTGTTGTTTTTTTTAAAGTTTCGCTGTTTCATTGCTAAAAAGCGAAGAAGAAGAAAATAGAGATGCAGCCATTAGAGGAGCATCATAAACCAGTGTCAAAATATACTGAGACGTAATAGTTATAACAGAAAGGTACATATCAAATAAAGCATTGCCAGAATCATAATTTTTTGTTTTTTCCTTCCTATAACGGTTTGTGGTCAACAAACTACAATTTGACACGTGCTAGATCGCCTCATCGATGCCATGAGATCCCTTAGGACCTCGGAACTTTCTGGACGTAAAGAATATCCCAAACGCAGAACAAGTTTTTTGAGGATTACTGAGTTCTCTGCAAAGTACATTGCTACTTCCACTGAGAAATCTACGGAAACATCTCCTGATGAATTACTGTGTTTTATCTCTACAGACTCGAGAGATGACAGCAAACAGCGAGGTGCGGTCGTGAGTCTCATATTTCTACTCATTAGGCAGCTACGTAAACCCTGCAACGCAAACAGGACACAAGGTGAATGGATTTTAGGTAAGACTAAACACATTTCTTAAGTGAGTGAGATAAATCAAAGGGTTTGTGAAAGTCATTACCAAGATTAGGGATCTTAGATTGGGACAACTTTCAAGAAAATTTGGCAGAATTTCGATGGTGAAATAATGAAGCTCTATTTCCAAAAAGGACAGGTTGCAAAATTGGGGTGATGGCATGATATGCCTGATGAACTACACAAAAAAAAAAAAAAACAAGGGATGAGATCAGAAAACTGGTGAGTAAAACTTTAATGACAAGAACCAAAAAAATGCATAGACATACCTGGAAAGTTTGCCAAGAGATCTGCATGTTCCTTAATCCTGAGATACTAGTAAAAAAGTTACTGAGCATTCGTAAGTTTACTTCATCAGCACTATCAATCCAACAAAAGTTGCCAAGAATGTTGACACTGGTTAAGGAACCCGGATTACTTATGGTTTTATTCTTATATCTATGATTTTTCATGTCCAAATGCTTGAGCCTAGGGGCATCAATGATTAAACCAGAGTTTTCATAATCAAATCCTGGAACCCTACACGTATCGACTTCTATACTGAGACTGGTTAATGTCTGAGAGTGCACTCGTAAAATTTTTACATTATCATCAAGTGACCTGCTTTGAAGAAAGCTCAGATCTTCAAGAACAGGGCAAGACGAGATAAGCGATTCCAGGCACGCATCATTGACATATACATTGTTTTCCAAACGCATAGTCTTGACACAAGGTAAAGAAACACACTCAAAACTACCAATTGAAACCCGATGGAGTCTCAAGTAAAGTAAAGTCTCACATATATAGAGGCTTAATGGCATCACTTCCAAACACTCACGCTCCACACGTAAACACTGAACATCAAGATGCTTAAGTTTACCTGTAGCCACAAAGTCTATCCAACGCGTGAGAAAAGGCTGCGTATCCTCATAATTTGCAATTCTTAGCTTGAGCTTGTGCAAGCATGACTTCTCTTTCCTAGTGAAGTCTAGGAACCTGTCTATAAATCTCTCAAAAGATTTGTAACATGGGAAATCGGAAGAGTCCAAATCCAACCCGGGAATCAAAAGCCAGAGACTTTTCCATCTATTGGACCAAACACCCGTCTTAACAGCTTCCTTTGTCGGAAGATAAGAGAGAATCTGAGATATCAAAGACTCAGGTAACTCGCTTATCATATCTTCACTTGCACGTGAGAAACTTGCACGCCGTTTGACACAGATCTCTTTAGCTTTTGTTTCCTCCATTACAATCCACTAGCAGAACTGAACCTGTGAAGAAACCTAAACGTATTAAAGGTTGACTTCTTGTTGATCAATATGACAGAAGGCTACATATTTATACAAGTCACTAAACCTAATTATGTGCTTAGTAGAAGACCAAACTACCCTTTAATACAAACACATGTCAAATTAACATATCTCTATGAAGATCCAAAACCGAGAAAAATCAACTATAGAATTCACCTGATGGGTCGTAAGATTTAAGAAGATCCGACTGGTAGAGAAGTAGTAGCCACGTTCTCAATAGGCAAAGGCAACGAGAGAGAGTTTTAGGGTTTTTGCCGTTTTGAACACTCCGTAAAAGATTTATTTTGCTGGTAACAGTTAAAGTTTCCCTAGTTTTGAATATGTACATTACCCGAATTGCTTATGGTTTTATTCTTAGATATTTCATCTTGGATATTTAAATGCTTGAGTCTAGGGGGATCAATGATAAACCCACAGACTTTTCATAATAAATTGTTGATATTTTGATGTTTTCTTATCAGGGTCTCAGGACATTAATATCTTCTGGTAATGTCTTTTACAACTTTAATATTGAGGTTTTGTAATCAACAAACATAATTTTGATTATTCTTAACAGAAAACTATATATGTGATAGGACTTTTGATCCAAAAAGTGAAGAAGAAGCAAAACAGAGATGCCATATAACGGTTTGTTATAAACTTGTAGTTTTGCTTTTTCTATAGAAGCTGGTTCTGACCATAGACAAACAAAAACAAAAAAAGTCAATTTAACGGCAACAAACTAGGAATCGACACGTGCTAGATCGCCTAGGCGAAGCCATGAGATCTCTTAAGGTCTTGGAAGCTTCTCCTCGCGTAGAATGTTCCAAACGCAGAACAAGTTTCTTGAGGATTACTGAGTTCTCCACAAAGTACATTGCTAATTTCATAGCGCGGTCTATTTTATATTTGGCCTTGTCTTTTATCTCTACAAACTCGAGCGATGACATCAAACAGTGAGGCACGGTCGTGAATTTTATTTGTTCTGTCAGCCAGGAATCAATTAAATCCTGGAAAACACAACATGGAGAACACAAAATGAGAGTTATATTTTAGAAAACGAGAAACACATTTCTTTAAGTGTACGAGATAAATCTAAGGTTTGTGCATTACCAGGACTAGGGATCTTAGATTGGGACAACTTTCAAGAAACCTTGGCAGCTCTTTCAGGAGGTGATGACACATCTCTATTTCCAAACTGGACAGGTTGCAAAATTGTGGCAATTGAGTGAAATTTCTGATGAACTACTCACACAAAATCAGAAAATTGCTTAGAAAAACTTCGATGACATGTAACATAAAAATGCATAAACATACATGGAAAACTTCCCAAGAGATCTTCATATC